TAACTTCCGGTGAGAACTATCAAGCACTTGCAGTATGCCCAGCCCTCAGTTTGTCTTAACATTCTTGAATCTTTACTAAAACAATAAGGTCTAAACTCCACTTGGTGTGGTGGCCCACACCTGCTATCCCAGCACTTTGGGAGGCCGAGATGGGAGGATGGCTTGAGGTCAGGAGTTCAAGACCAGCCTGGGCAACATGGCAAGACCACCCATTCTCTGCTGCTATACACCTCCATCTCTACAAAAAAATTCGAAAATTAGCCAGGTGTGGTGGTAAACACCTGTAGTCCCAGATACTTGGGAGGTTGAGGCGGGAGGATCACCTGAGCCCAGGAGTTCGAGGGTGTAGTGATCTATGATCACACCACTGCACCCCAGCCTGGGCAACAGAACGAGATCCTATCTCTAATGGAAGGAAGGAAGGAAAGGAGGAAGGAAAGTCTGAGCTCTAAGGTTGCTGCTCACATCCCCATTTTACCAACAAAAGAACTGAAGAGAAGTGATTTGGTCAAGGTCCCACAGCTAGGGAGTGGTGGAGACAGAAGTTGGTCTTGGTCAGTCTGACTGCACACACACACACACACACACACACACTCCAGTGTGTGTGATACTCCAGTATCAAATTGCACACAAACACCGAAAGGGGCTGAGGGAGGCCTCTCGTCACCTGCAGCCCCTCAGCGATCAAGGTCACAGGAAGGTTCCCCCCAGGGTGTCTGCAGGTTCTACTCACAGGAGATCCTGGAAAGGAGCCGGGTTCGGGGGAGGGTGGAAGGGGCTGACCCTGGTCTCCAGCCAGCCGGCTGTCTTATCACCCAGTGCCCCTTTGTTGCTGTGAATTCCAGACACCTGCAATGGAATACTATTAATATAATAATTATATGCTTCCATGTTTTATATTCAAATCCACCTTCTCAGGAAGGCGTTCCTGGGCCTACTTAAAGTCGCATGCCCCCAGCCCTGCCTGATTCCCTTCCCTGCTCTATTTTCCTCCGTGGTATTTACACCACCTGACATACTACATATTTAAGTTATTTATTGCCTGCACTACTCCCAGCTAGAATATCAGCTCTATCAGGGCAGGGATTTTTGTCTCCTTGGCTCACTGCTGTGTTTCTAACCTAGAACAGTGCCTGGCACACAGTAGATGCATAACAAATATTTGTTGAAAAAATTAATGAATAATGCTGGGTGCAGTAGCTCATGCCTATAATCCCAGCACTTTGGGAGGCCGAGGCAAGAGGATTGCTTGAGCCCAGGTGTTTGAGACCAGCCTGGGCAATATAGCAAGACCCCTGTCTATACAAAAAAATTTTCTTAAAAATTAGCTGGGCATGGTGGTGCCCATTTGTAGTCCCAGCTACTCTGGAAGCTGAGCCAGGAGGATCCCTTGAGCCCAGGAGTTCATTCAAGGTTGCAATGAACTGTGATCATACCACTGTATTCCAGCCTGGAGTGACACAGTGAGAGCCTGTCTCAAAAAATAAAAATAAAAAATAATGAAAAATGACAGCAGCTTTACATGCCTGGTCCCTAATCCTCACAATAGCCCTAGGAGATAGGAATGGAAATTGTCCCCATTCTCCAGGTAAAGAAACTGGCGCAGGAAGGTAAGACTTCACTGCCCAAGCTCTTGAGCAAACCCTTTCTGGTCTAGTAACCATCTACTTTGGGGTGACTTGCAGGTTACATGTGAACAGCACCACCCCCAAAATGATCCTCGCAGTTGGGTGCCGACTCCCTTTGCTGTGTTTAACCTGTCCACACGTGATGCTTTCTGCTGCCTCCCCCTAAGACACCAAAAGCACAGGCAACAAAAGCAAAAACCAGGCAAATAGGACTACATCAAATTTTACAACTTTTATGCATCAAAGGAAACAACAGAAATGAAAATGCAATATAGGGAATGGGAGAAAATGTTTGCAAACTGCATGTGTGAGATGGGTTAATATCCAGAGTGCTTCCATGTTTCCCTCTGCTGTGACTTCCCCAGGTTCGAGACAGAGGAGAAGTAGGAGACAAAGCCCAGCCGGTCTCCTGGGAGGGTGGAGAGGACAGTTGGTCACCCTCATAAGCATTCCAGTTGAGAGTCTGATATGAAAGATTCCAAGTCCCATTCTGTTCAACTGTAGGTGCTAACTTTAATTGAGACTCAAACATGGCCACATCCTGAGCTACTGAATTCTTTCGTGAAACTTTACAACAACCTTGTGAAGTGGGCATGGTGATCATCCCCTTTTACAGGTGACAAAGCAGACTCAGAGAGGTTACCTAACTGGCCTGAGGTCACACATATAGTAAGTGGCTAAACGTGGACCCATATCAATTCTAAGACCCATTTTAGCATTTCTGAAACAGCAGTGCATCTTAGAATCGATGAGATTGCCATCAGCCCACAGGCAGTCCAAAAAATTAACTCTCTGCACATGTGAACGAACTTTATTTCAGTTGATCATGTTTTTGTCACCTCAGCTGAGTTGTGTACATTTTTGAAACTATGTGTATTGGGTTTAATTGCTGTTTAAAATCCCTTCTGAGATACAATCTGGGTGCAATGATATGTGCCTGTTAATCCCAGCTACTCGGGAGGCCAAGGCGGGAGCATCACTAGAGCCCAGGAATTCGAGACCAGCCTGTGCAACATAGCAAGACCCTATCTCAAAATTTTTAAAAATGTCTTCCAACATATTGCATGGTAATTCAGGCTGAAGATGAAAAGTAACCGTTTACCCAGAAATGCCTGGAAACAGTAACAGAGAGTCATTTCGCTATTCATGAAGCAAGTGTTTATTGTTGGAGCAATAACTGCAGTTCTATGTTCTTGCAAAGCAACAACCAAGAAAGGTGGATTCCCTCATTTAGACCAAGCGGGGTTAAGTTTTACTGCTGAGATTCGTGGAAAAGGATGGTCTATGCTAGTGGTTCTCAAACCTGAGCGTGTATCAGATGTACCTGGAGGGCTTTTTAGAACACAGATTGCTGGGTGCGCCCCCAGAGTGTCTTATTCAGTGGGTCTGGGGGGAGCCTGAAAATTTGCCCCTGTCCCAGGCAGCTCTAGTGCTGCTGGCTGGGGACCACGCTCTGGGAACCAAGCAGGGCAAGTGGAAGCAGGAGCAATGGCCAAACCCCACGGAGTAAACGAAAATATTTCACCAAGAGGCAGGTGTGGCTGATTCATGCATCAGAGAGACTTGGCATGAAGGCAGGGAACATCAGTTTGTCAGAATCGTTGGGCTAAACAAAAGTCACTTAACTTCCCTGGACACATGTCCATTGAGAAAGATGGAAACTGTGGGTTTCCGTGCCGATAGAACCCAG